TTACTCAGAGTCCCCCTCAGACTGTACTCGGTCTTGTTGAAAGCTGCCGCGGTCGCTATCGAGCTCCCCCGGAAAAGAGGCAAAACTGCTTCGAGGAGGTATAGCACTCCCCCGTGTCGCTCACCTGTTAGCTTCGCTCCTTCTCGCACGACTTTGCTGCATGTGAGCTTGAACAAGTTGTACACCTGTCCATGCTGCGTTTGCTACAAAGTTTACACTGTCTGTCCATCTCCCCCCTGTATGTAGTTCGAACTTCACGATCTCACCCTTCCTGCCAGGTCACGAACTTCCGCTAGATGGCGTCCCCCGTCCAGCGTGGTAGCTCTCCCTGGTCAGCGCGGCACCGGAGTCGGGAAGGTCGTTGGTGGAGAAGTGTGTCTCCCCCCCGGGCGGGAAGTCTGAGAAGAAGGTCTTGCAGTGCAGAACTCCCCTCCAAGGATGTAGCGGTGCGATCTTGCCCTGCTAGTCAATTGCTCTCCCCCTAAGGTTCCTGCAAGGGCCACTGAAGCCAGGTGGCAGCGGTTATGAGGCTCAAGCCTCCCTCCGCTCGACGGAACGTCCACCCGACGGGGATGCTGGGAGCAGCCAGCACGCCCGACGGGCCGTCCTCGAGCGCCCCCCAAGGGAAGCGGCAGGTCGACTTGAGCCAAAAGTTTTCTCTCTCTCTCTCTCTCTTTCTCTCTCTGGTTTGTTTGTCTATCTGTCTACCTATCTATATCTTTCTACCCATTTCTCTCTGTCACTCTATCTCCATCTCATTATGAAATTATCTCATCTATCTGTCTATGTATCTAGCGCCTATCTGTGTGTCTGTCGATCTATCTATCTAGTCTACCTGCCTGTGTATCACCTATCTGCCTATCTATCTGTCTGTCTCTCTTCTGCCTGTCTCTTTATCTACGTAATCTATCTGTCTGTCTATCTGTCTATCTATCCGAGGTCACGGTATTAATGGATAAGCGGTTGAGGAAGTCGATTCCAAGCAAGCTTCCCGAGGCGCACCTCGGCTGGAGCCTCGAGCTTGGAGGAACGCAGGTTCTTCTTGTAGCCCTTGTTCACGGTCTGAACAGCGCCCAACTGCTGCCAGCACTTTTGCTACTACAGCTGCTATCTCGCACTGGCTCTATTCAAATTCCTCCGACCATTATTGCAGTTAATCCGACCGCCACCAGCACCACGACGAAGACTACTGCGCTTCCTACTATGGCCACCTCTACGAACCATTTTATAGCGAACCGAAGTACTATTTCTACAGTCTCTAGGGTCTTGAGGGTAACCTCATTCTTGTTGCAGCAGCCTGTGCGTCCATCGACTTGCGGCGCTCGTCTTCGGCAGATGACCGCCGGTCTTTGCCTCCAGCGGTGACCAGTTTGTCAGAGGAAGCCCCCTTCTCTGCGGCAGCCCCACAGAGTCCCTATAAGCACGCACGAACAGAAGCAGATGTTCCAGAGGGCGGGTGAAACACGGCCGACCATACGGAACAAGTTGAAAACCGGTGCAATGGAGGATGTACAGTCGTCGGTAGCGTGCCCAGTGTTCAGGAATTGCGTTAGACGCAAGCTTATTCCCACATGCTGAATGCCGGAAGATTATGGTCTCAATGCCGAATGGCAAAAAAAACTGAAACAAAAACGCAGTTCTTCCTAAACTCAAGCTGACAGCCGCAGCAAACCCAAACGCCAATCCGAACATCCCTAAATCCCAATCGAACCCTTTCGGTGCGAGGCCCAAGGACTGGCGATCACCTCTTTCCCTGGGCATCAGAAGTGTAATCACATCATAGTCATCGTCATAGGAACGGTCAGACAACTCTAAGGTTTCGTTCTAGCACCAGCTTTGGGCCAAAGGACTTCGAAGGAGCAGGACTCTGGGAGGCTTGGAGGGATTCTGGTGATCAGGACGAGCTTACCTGGTTGAGATCACCGGTTTTGCAGCTCAGAGAGAGTTCATTGCGACTGTCTTCTGATCGAAGGAAAGGGCAGGAGGTCGGCAGTTCTCGAAGGTGTTGCACGACGTGTCAGTGTGAGCAACGTCCCGATGCGCGACAATGGCACAGAAAAACTTGACTCCCTCCCAAACTGTGACCACTCTTCGTTTCTCTCCTTAGAACCGGTAAGTCGCAGACCTCCATCTCTTGATGGCAAAGACGCCGGCCACCACCAAGAGCACACCAATCACCTGCTCACGAAAATTGAAGAAGCTCAACCCCCGGAAATTCAACAGGGTGCTTCCGGAAGCTAGTCCATCTGACCCAGGCTCCGACGGGCATCAGGAGCCAGGTGAGGCCACCGCCGCCACCATTCTGCTCGGCCTGCTTGCATGCGGTGCCATCGGCGCATGGCCACGAGGCGCAGGAAGTGCTTTAGTGTGAGACTTTTGGTCAAGAGACAACACGCACCTGCCGGATTAGAGTAGCGCTCTCTCAAGATCGCAGAAGTACGGGCTTCAACGCTCTGCGGCTCTCCGGCTGAATGCACTTGGCTTTCGCGGTGTGAAAATCACGGAAATGGAGGAGCGCAAGGTTGCACGTGATGAGCTTGCGAAGCCGTGAAAAGGGGAAAAGAGGAGGGCACGGGGGCACATGATGGCCGATGGAGGCTCGCTCCCTGGCCTGCGCTTGGGCTGCTTCCTCTTTGCTGCCAGCCTTTCTTTGGCTGAATCGCATGATACTGTATCTGCTGACGCCTACGCAGCAGCCCAAAGCCCAATGAGGGTGCGGCAGGGGGCGCAGCAGCCGAAACGACCCTGCAAGGGCAGGCAGTCGATACACGGCAGCTGGTGAAGCACGAAACTCGGGTCCCGACACAGGCGGTGTCGCATTGGCTCCACTGGAATTTGATGCCTTTCCTTCCCCGTCCTTCTCCTTGTCCTCGGACTCTTTGGTGGTTCCCGCTACCGTGGTCGCTGCTGCAGTGGTGGCTGCTGCAGTTGTTGGCGCAGCGGTCGTGGCAGCCGCTGTCGTGGCAGCAGCCGTGGTGGGAGCTGGTGTGGTTGTTGATTTCTTCTCCTCTTCATCATCATCATCAGACGTGCCCATGGCGAAGGGAACATTGCCCTGACCCATGGACATGCCGTTAGCCATGCCCGTGGACATTCCACCGCCCATTCCAGCAGCAGGGTTCATGACCTGTCAAAAAGCGCAGAATGCTTGTCTTTGCAGGCTTCCCCGCAGAAGCGCTGCGGGGCAAACGATGCGGCAGAACCTCAGCAAAAACTTGACGACGGCACCGCGGGCATCTGCTTCTGTTGGAGCAAGCTGCCATTTGCTGTGACCTGGCATCCGTCAAGAGAGTCTTGAGATTCTCATCAAGTGTTCCCGGGTTCTGCACTCTAGACCATGGTCAGTTGGTCGGTTAAGCTGCTGGGTTGCATGATTAATGGTGAGCTGACATTGGCTGCTGGGTTTGTGCAGGCAGCCAAAGAGAAGGGCTGGAATTCTCAAACATAGTACCATGAAGACGTGGTGCCACATACAACGGTGTCACTGGCTCTACTTCTGAACTCTTTGGTCTTCGTTGATATGTCAGGTGCACAACGAAGAACTTTAATGCACGGCACCTGCAACAGCAGAGCCCAGCCATCGTCAAGCTGGGCATCCTTGCGCATGAGCCGGGGGTTCCTGAAAGCCCAGTGCATTGTCAGGCGCTTGACTTCGGGAAGTCGGGGAGCCCAAGGCCGAAAACGTTGCACGTAAGTGCTTCGTGTCCAGTGCGGGATTCAGTACGGTTTGGCTTCGTGTCCGGGGCCCGCGGCTCCGGGCAGGGTGCAGTCTGCTTGCCAACTCAACTGCATCTATAGTCTATATCTATATCGAACGTAATTAGTCGTTACGAACCTTGGGTCGGAGCCTGCTTCAGAGGATACAACTCGTGCTACTTGCTATGCTAAGGCCCCCAAACAACGTAAACTCGCGGCCGCGTGCTCTGAGACTCTGAAACCTTTCAGCCGCAAGGCGACATCAACGACTTCGCTTGCCCAGCACTTCCGGCGAAGCGGACCGGACGGAGTTCGACCGACCCTCAGCTGCCGGGAGTCCGTCGGAGAGGAACATCGACGCAGCGAAGTTGCAAGCGGCACGGCCCAGCAGACTGAAGCTGCCGAAGAGCATGAGGGCCCTCGAGAGGGCGCAGGAGTCATCGCAGTCCGGGGCCAGGTTGAAGTCGCTCAGCTCACCAGCCAAAAACGGACCGATGCCCATCCCGATCGACCAGCACGTCTCCAGAAGCCCTTGGGCGGTACCTCGCCGGCCTACGCCCAGCCTCTGTACGACAGCCTGCACGCCCTGTCGAAAGCAGCCCACCACAACACCCAGGGCCGTGAAGAAGATCAGCACAGCAAAGGACGGCCCTAGGATGGCGGCGATGCCACACAGCATTCCGAGTACATCGCCGAAGGATGCAAACCAAAGGTTGACCCTGATGTCGCCATGACGGCGGAAGACGCGATCGACCAGGTGACCGATAACAAAGCTGCTAACCACCCCTGTAACACCCAGTACAGGGCCCATGACAAGGCCGATCTGTGCTGCTTCCACACCGTGACGACGCTCGGTGAAGGCCGACAGGAAGCGACCCTGCCCAGAAAGCATTCCGGTGCACGTTGCGCCCAGCATCAGGAGCCTGAGAGGCCGCAGGGCTAGCAGCTGCCGCACGTCAGAGCAGACACCCTCCTTCGGAGGTTCCTCCTCTGCCGTTCGCGGCACCGTGAAACAGAAGAGCAGCGCGACGATGACCTGCGGGGATGCGACGACCCAGAAGGCCCATCTCCAGCCACGGGACGTGACCAGAACTCCCCCAGCGGCAAAGCCCACAAGGCCACCGAGAGCACTGCCCGCGTGGTAGTAGCCCATGGCCGTCGCCATCTCCTCGGCAGCAAAGTAGTCGGAGAGCAGGGCCAAAGTCACGGGGTAGCCGGCGCAGTTCGCCACGCCGGCGAGTAGGCGACAGAGCAAAAGTACCTCGAAGGACGGCGAGGAGCCGGTAAGAAAGGTCGCCAGGGCCCAACCGAAGACTCCGGCACCAATGAGCCGAGCCCTTGGGACGTGGTCCGCAAGGCGACCGACGCAGCCCGTGGCAAAAGGCACAATCCACAGCGAGGCGGAGGCCAAGAGCCCCACCTGCGTGTCCGTCAACTTGAAGTCCTCCTTCATGGACTCCATGGCGATCGACAGCACCGTGCGATCTAGCCATTCGCACATCACCATCATCGAGCAGCAAGCCAGTACCCAGTGCCGACGTTGGAATCCGTCCTTGTAAAACCGTGATGTCTGCTTCTCCGACTTCTCCTCGGATGCACTGGCCGCGGTGCTCGCAGAGGGACTGTGACTGCTCGGAGATGCTGCAGAGATTGGGGTGGGAAACAGCTCCGCCCCCACCTCGTCCTCCTGCAACTTGGCGTACTGCGCCTGGATCTCATACCAAAGCTTGCTGTTCTTAACCATGCCCGCCACCCCATCTGTGAAGCTTTTCACAGAGAGGCCCACATCTCCATGGCCCGCAGATACGCCTGACCACTCCAGTCCCTCGTTTCCCGCCTGAGGGCTTGAAGAGCCCCTGAAAAGATCCGATTACATCAGAAAACTTCGAATAAAACTTTACATTTCATCAAGATGCAAGTTTGAAATCGTGGGTGGAGCCTCAGGAGAGAAGGACCTACAGCACAGCCCCGGGTTCCCGAACCGGATGGATCCAGGATTCTTAGCTGGTGGAATACCTCTTCAAAGAGGAAGGACTTGTTGTATAACATATAAACACTTAGAGAAGCCCAGTCTGTTCACGTTTTTGGGCTTCAACCGTTTTAGGATCCAGGGCACCCCACACCCCCCTAAAACCCTCAAGCCCAGCTTGCCTTTCGATGCCCTCCGACTTCTGCAAGGCCAAGGCAAGCAGAGCCAGCCTGGCACACCCCAAGACTCCAAGACGAGCGAAGGTCTAAATCCCGAAAGCTACGGGGAAGCCGCCGAATGGCCCCAAGCAAACCCCAAACCCTAAACCCCAAACCCCAAACCCTAAACCCTGAACCCTAAACCCCAAACCCTAAACCCCAAACCCTAAACCCTAAGCCCCAAACCCTAAACCCTAATACCCTAAACCCTAAGCCCCAAACCCTGAACCCGAAACCCGATCCGGCTTCGTTCCTTGTGCCAGCGCTCAGACTTTGCAGGGCCGGCCTGAGGCGCCATGCTGGTCCTCTTGAGGCCTCCCCGAAAGAACGCCCGGATCGTTTCGGTGGAGTTCCAAGCTCCAGGGGGGCCCGGAAGAAGCATCAGAGGGCTTTTTGTTAGGGTTTAGGGGATCAGAGGGGGTTTAGGGTTTAGGGTGTATCTTCGAGTTTCGGTTGCGGTGGACTGCGAAATCTTGGGCCGTTGTAGCCAGATCCACGAGCCATCAGGAGGTGCAACCACAACAGTTAGAAGCCTGACCAAAGAAGGTGACCGCAAATTACGCACAGTCAAGTCCTCATACCCAAAACCATCAATCGAAATTCAAAACCCTCGCCTCAACATAGCCCCTTAATGGCCACAACGACTTGGTAGAGTCAAAGAGAAGCTTGAACCCTTTCAGGAAAACACAGACCAGGAAGGTACCAGGATCCCAGAAAGCTGAGCCTTTGCAGCTGGGCCGATTTGGCTTCGCTCCGAAACATCACGATGGGCTGGAGCACATTGCCTGGTTTGGACACATTTGGAGAGGGAAGGGGTTGAAGGATCTGGATAAAAATGCACACTCCTACTCCCATGCCCTTCCTTGCTTACCAGCAACTGCCCCAACTCGCCAAACCCGGAAACAAGCCAAGTGCGCCTCAGCATGGGCTGCTCCTTGGCCTGGCAAAGTCTTTGGATGCCGGCCCTACAAGCCAAAACAGAGGAGTGCCTCGTCACGGCGTCCTGTGAATGTAGTATGAGCCGATATTTCTGAAATTCGCATGTACTGCCTTGCTCCCTCCTATACTGCTCAGCATGCAAGGCTTCGAGGATTCTTGAAACTTCCACATAGCTGGACCCTTTGAGCCCGAAAACTCCTGCCCCAGAGCCTGACAAGCCTCCAACCTGTCTGTAACTCCGCAAGTCCGCCATAAACCCCCAACAGACGCTTCGAGAGGTTCAGCATTCCACCTTTCTACACCTGCCTGACAGAGAGATCCTTAACCTTGGAGAGAGCCCGCCCCAGAAAGAAAAATGGTGGCTCTGGGAGAAGATCCAAAGCCACGGTTCAATCAACTCCCAGTGCAGCCGGGCCTTTGCATGGATGTCTGGATTGGGTAAACCTGCGCGGCTTGCCAAAGTCAACATCATCTTCGCTGACGCGGAATGGGGGCTGGGAGACTAGACGAATCAGCACGAACACAACAAAAGAATACCAAGACTTTAGCATCGACCTGCTCGTGGATGCCAAGCCGCCAGCACGACACCACTGCCAGAGCTTGGGCCGTTGGCTGACTTTCTGCTGAATCACTTGAATGTGTGTTCGTGCAGCTGTCATGTCAACGCAGGATGTTGTGGCAAAACGTAACTGAAAAACTGTTCGATGCACGCCTTTTCTTCAGTCCGTCCCCGGGATGTGTCAAACTCCTGTCTAGCCAGCTGCACACAAAAAACGAGCTTCTCAGTAGGTGGCCACCTTCTTGGACTGGGCCAGGTAGTCGGTGAACTCCTGGAAAGGCGAGTTCGTGAAGCGCGTCGCTGTCCACAGATCCGGGGTGAGGTACCCGTACGTGGCCTTCAGCGCCTCGAACGTTGCCTTGGCGAAGTTTGCCGTCGTCCTGGTGTGTCCACACGAGCAGGTGAAGCAGTCAGAGATGCCGGCGAAAGCCATCATCTTCTTCATGACTGGAGAGCCTACGATGCCGGAGCCGCGCGGAGCAGGGATCAGGCGAGCTCGCACTGAGCCGCACTTTCCGTGCACTTTCATTGGCACAGTGTGGGGCAAGCCGATCCTGTTACCCCAGAAACCTCGTCGGACCGGGATCAGGTTCAGCTTAGCGGCAATGATGCCGCCGCGGATAGCTGTTGCCACCTCCTTCGCGCACTTGGAACCCAGACCGATGTGGCCGTTGGTGTCGCCCACCAAGACGTAGCACACAAATCTGTTGGTCTGACCGGCGGAGGTCATCTTCTGCACGGGGTGAATCTTCAGCACCTCGTCCTTCAAGCTTCCAGGAGGGTAGAAGTGATCAATGATCTCCGGCTCCTTGATGGGCAGGGAGTGCAGGTAGATCTCCTCCAGGTTGTTGATCTTGTTGTCGTTCACCAGCCGTCCCAGCTTGGTCATCGGAACCCATTGCTTCTCCTCCTGCTTTCCCTTGCCCTTTCCCTTGCCCTTGCCCTTCTTGCCCTTGCCCTTCCCTTTGTCTCCAAA